GTGGTGGTGCTGGGGGGTGGGGGGTGGGGGGGTGCGCGCGCGCGCGTAACCTCGACAAGGCCGGTCAGCCTGGGAAAGCGGCCCTCAGAGAGCTGTGAAAACGCAATCAGGGGCCAGGGCTACTCGCCTGCGTTTGTCCACAGCATCTGACTGCTTGGGGAAAGATCTGCCCACCATCACAACGCTGAGGAAATCGCCCAATCTCTTTCCTAAATTTCTCTTGGGAAAAGTCACCCTGAGCTCTTAATGAAGCAGCTAAGACTGATTTGTTGTTTCATAACCTTCAGGTCCCCAGGATCGCGGGGAGAGCGCCGTGTGAGGCAGTGGCGGAGAAATGTTCGCAGGTCCCGTTGCAGGTTCTCACTGGGCATCTTGCCTGGTGGGATGGGAACGCGGGGACCTGCTTCAATTCCGGGTCTGGGAAACTGCAGATCCCCTCTTCCCGCCAACCCTCCATGCCAGAATCTGCCCATCTCCTCTCCACTCTCTTTATGATAAATGTCTCATGGCATAAGAATTCTTTTCCATACTTGTCGTTCAAAAACTTATCTGTTTCCTGTAAGTACCAGCTTCTCCTGAAATAATGTCTCTAAAATTCTTCCTTTTCCTTTCCTCCAAAAGTGTCAGATCCTTTACCTTTTAGAAATGAGGTATCATCCTGATAAACATGGACTGAAATTTAGCACAGGCAGGTGAAGGATCTCGGATATGTGCCTCAGTTTCCTCATCTGTAAAACAAAGATAGTCTCATCGTATTTAATTGAGGTGAGCACTAAGTTAGGTAACCCACTGCTTATCACATGGCAGACTCCTCCTCGCACTTCCTGGCTGGTTTTCATGAAGAATGGAGACCCAGGCACCACATAAGCCCCTTGAGAGGAAAAGAAGAAAAGCCTTTGTGGCAGGGGAAGGGGAGACAAATCCTGGCTTTGAAGCATAAAAACGTTTTCCCATCTGATTCTCGTGTGAAGGACACTGGGTGCAGGCACCTGGTGGGCAGCCTCCTGTGTCTCTGGAGAATTCATGTAGTGGAGTGAGAGGCTTGAGAGGCTGGCTGAAAATGCAGGCCCCAGGGAAGAACAAAGGTGATAAATCTCATCCCTACAGGGCGAGTGACGGTTCAATACTGCCATGGTTAATACCAGGACTCCAAATCCAGTGGTCCCAGGTTAAGTCCTGGTGGGACCTGGTTCAATTTGCTCAGGATCCACCTTGTCCACATGAGTCATTCCATCCAGTTTTCTCTTGTTCTGTAATATCTTTCTAACATTGGCTTCAGTGTTGTCTCATGCTTTTTTTTTTTTTTTTTTTTTTTTTTTTGAGAGAGAGAAGGAAAAGAGAAAACTCAAATGGAATTGCTGAAGCGTAATGGCCACCAACCCCGTGCCTGTCCTGAGACTGGAAAAACAAAACTTTAATGAAGACAGAGAAATCCAGAAAAGACAAGAAAAGTTGGTGAAAAGAGCAAGAGGAAAGCTGCGGAAGAAACCGTGCCTACACAGCACAAGATAAAATGGATCCGAGGTCTCTGTCCAGGCCATCGGCCTCTGAGAGCCCACATTCTCTGAGGGCGAGAGGAAGCTGTCCCCAGACATGACCCCAAACGGATAGAAAGCCGCTTTTCATGAATTCCAGGGTAGAGACCTGCGCG